AAATCACAAACTCTTCCATCCAACCTGTGTGGTCAACAGCAAGACCACCTTGAAGTAAGTTACATAAATGGGTTCTCATAATTTCTTACATTGTACATTCAGTGCCCAAATCTGAACTGAAGATTTATCAGCCTATTGAATATTTTTTCCTTATAACTGTGACTGCTCTTTTAGTGGAGAATTTTGGATTACTTCATTTGTGTTAATTTACATGGAATAGGAAAGATAACACATTAACTTATATGTACAGCTGACTATGATTCAAGGATTTGGGTTTCAAGCTTTCCATATGACTCGCTTCAGATAGGCAAATTAATTCTTATTTTTATGAAAGATACTGAAGTGACATAAAATTCTTCATTACATCATAAACATTATGACATGTACTATCTCACATAGTACATATAATGATGCAGCTGAAGGAAGAGTAAATGAGATATTATTTCAATACTGGATGGACTTGCATAGTTTTCATTCCCTGACATTAGGGATGTGAATGTTAAATCCCTCTTGATTCGGACAGAGTTCTTTAGAAATCACTTGTATCTCTAACAGCAACATTGTGGGATGCTAGACAGACAGCTATCAATTCATTCCGAACCACCAAAGGAAAAAAAAAAAAAAAAAATGATTTCTGGGACATTACAACTACAAGGCTCACAAACATACAGCTAGTCCTAGTCTGACAGCAGCACAAAGCAATAGCAATGACAATCGAGAAAAAAAGATCAAAGAAAGAATATGGATAAACAATAAATGGTAGCTTCTTTCCATTAAAACACAAATACATATATGTATATGGCCATTTTAACATGAAATAGTAAGTCATACTGAATTTTTTAGAAAGGAATCTGAGGAAAAGTTTAAAAATTTATGCAGAGCTCACCAATGATTCCAGGTAATATTTTTGATTTTTGAATCTTACAATTCATCTTGGCAAGATCCATCACAAAAAGTTAATCTGAAATCAATGTATCAGTAGTATAGGCTAGGCCTGTTACTCAAGTTATTAAAACAACTTGACAAGGATGAAAAGGATTGTGTGTCTGAAAAGCAGTCTATTTTTTCCAAACAAATCACTTTGTCTAATGGAAGATACTATGCCTTCCTAAAGTCTTGCTCCCCAAGAACATAATCAGAAACAAATCACAAGTTTATTTTGTATACCCTTTACATTTGAGTTCCTTAGGCAAATATATTCAGGCTTGAAAAACAAATGTGCTTTAATATTCCTTATTCTAAAAGTAATGAAAGAGAGGAAGAATATCCTATAATATAAAGTTCTCTTTCTATTACAGCAGAACTCAACTATTTCACAGGCTGAACAACAACTGATGAACCAGGTTGTTTGAATCTCAATCAGCTAATAGTACAGGTACGGAAGTCTACAAACAAGGCAACCCCATGTCATTCTAGTTCTTCTAAAGCACAGGTGAGAACCTTCCACTAAGTGTATCTGAGAGAAATACATTCTGGTTACACAGTTACGTCACTCAATCACAGGAAACTTCATTTTCCGGCAACTATAATTACTAAGTAACTTAATGCATATTAAATATGAGACAAGCAGCATTTAAAAGACTGAAGGCAGACTTCCAGACAGACAGCAAATGCATTAACATACATTTAATGGAAGATCAAGACCTTTAAAAGACCACAAAAGAAACCAAAGAGACTTTGTTCCACTACTTTTTACAATCTGTAAGCATGTTAAAAATCAAAACACACATTATGAAGGCAGTGTCATCCATTACATTAGAGAATTCAACAGTCTGCTATCTAGAGCCTAAATGAAGTTATTGGTAAAGAAATGCGCTAGTTCCCACACTTGTAAGACACGGTCAGGTTGGCAAGACATGGAAAGACTCCCTTACATTATTTTTTCCTCAATTTTAAATATAGATTTGTGTTGTAATATACAGTACTCACCATAATCCTGTGCTGAAAATACTGTACTAAGTAATTCAGTTACACTCAGTTTTGTTATTACAATTTTACATGCTTATATGAAGTGCATACTATACAGCAAATAGTATATGCATGGTTGTTTTTCAACAAACCCTCACGATTTGCATTTGGTGGCAACACCAGAGCTGATTTTCCTCAGCTGATTTGTTCTTGAGTCAATTACTTCCTTCACATTTCTTCCCTGTAATGTAAATCTTAGGTCAGGACAAACTAGTGAGCAAGCTTTCTTCTAGAGTTTACCCCAATTCCACTGCAGAGATCGGTCGAAAGGAGTACGGTAAGAGCAGTGCAGCAAGTCCCATCCTGCCATACACCTGATGCTGGACTACACTGGATTGATACATACGCACCCGCTGCAGATTCTGCATTCCACCAATAATCCCACTAGCGCAATAAGCATTTTAGGATGTTAAGCACCATCACAGCTTTCTACTGAAAAGCCAGAAATGCAGACGCATCTGGGGATTTTATGTTTATTCACAACCTTAAGGACACAGAAGGAATTAATATGATAGAACTGATTCTACTCACTTTTTTATGACTCTTCAGGACTGAGGGTGTCACAAAAGCTTTGTCACAGAGATCACACTTGTATTTCTTATGCCCATCGTGTACAACTTGAATATGAACATTTAATGTGTCCTTTCTTTTGAAAGTAGCATCACAGTGATCACACTTGAAGGTCCTCTCACCTTACAAAGAGAAAAACAAGGTTTAAAGATACCAGATTTTTGTGGAAATACACTCATGCTTACTGTTTCAGAAAAATGAATAAAAGCAGCAAAGACAAATGAAAAGCTGTGTCCTGAGAACAGAAAGAAAAGGGAAATTACATCAGATAAAATGTCATTGGGAAATTAAGAAAGTAGTCATGACAACAATGTAGCCGGAAACGTGAGATTAAACTGTATAGCCAAAAGTGAAATGGCAACTAGTGGAAATGGCTTCCCGTGAAACAGAGCACAGGTTTTATCAGCACCTCCAGTAACAGACTATTTTTATGGTAACAAGCAAAAAGATGAAACAGGCTTCATCTTTTTAAACTTAAACAGTAAGAGACATCTTCCTGAATTTAAAAGGATTCTCAAAACAAGACATAGTTGCTTTGAGTAACCTATCTGATTCACATCAATAGGGGCAAACTCAAATGACAAAGATGAAATAATTTGGAAGTGTTATAGCAGTATTACTATTTAAACTGTGGTGATGTCATTGAAGGTCATGGCAGAGGCCAGGTTAGTATTGCTAATAGTTTTAAAAGTCAATGAATTACCTAAGACAGGGGAAGAAACATTGTATTCTGAAAATCTGCATACATCTTTTGAGAGGAAAAAGACAAAAAATAAAAATGTGAATCTTCAGAGAAATCATTACAATGAACTTTCTCTTTACCACTACTGTGAATGCATAAAAAAATATTCTCTTCCATTTGTTAACTTCTTGATTAAAATTACAAGTTAAACATTTGCAACATGGCCTTCATTCAGAAATCCACAGTCCACACTGGAAATCAGGTGTCCATATCCCACAAAGCTTTCCAAGCAGTTATATCACAAAGAAAGATCACCATAACCTAAGAAGTATCCTCCACTTCTTACTTTTCAGGACAGAGGTCTGATCTGCAGCCTCCTGATCCATATAAGTAAGATACAGACTTGTGTAAGCCCAAGCTTTTTCCAGTACTAATGATGCATATGTAGAGATACACTTATTTCCTTGCTATAGTTCATTAAAGGATAAAATCGTACCTGCCTTGGTCCCAGTGCAAAGGCCAATACGAATGGAAATTGATTTCAGTATGCTGCATATTAAAGCCCATTTGATTCTACATGTTGAAGCCCCAAAAAATCTTTTTTCTTTATTATATATTATACATGTAATACATGTAAGTGAAGCTTATCAATACAGTGGTGACTCAAGTACCCACAGACATTCCAAAGCCTAGAAAACCTGTTTTTCTCCCACATAATTCAACCATTACTTCCCCCTCACCTCCCCCAAATCTCTCTTTCTCTGTTGGTTTGGAAACAAAAGTGGTTTTGTCTTACGATGACACAAGCAGAATATGCTAAAAGGTATTAGGGTGTAAGTTGTCTTATCCTAAAATACTTTCAGTGTAGCTATTTAGAAAATTTTTTAAGGTCAACAGGGATACAATTTAATATACTGCTATGGGGAGCTTGAACACTGATACTGCTTCTAACTGTTCAGTGAAACACTTCAGTCCTCATCTTGGGAACGTGAAACCACTCTAACAAAGTGAAGTCATTACTATTTTTACTGAAGTAACATGCAATTTTCTACTGCTTCAAGGGAAAAACATTCAAGTAGTTTCTTTTAAAAGTTACTTCTTATAAAAACTTCTAGGCTTCATGGATTTTATTTTTTTATTTAGGTAGTCATTTGTTTCTTTCAATCTCTTAATAACTTATCTCCAAGTCTGAAAATAAACTGAAAAAAATGAAGCCATACCAGACATAATTTGAACTAATTACCATATCTTCTGAAGTAAGATGTATGATGTCCATAAATTTACATGATATCATTATGGTTTAAGACCCAATTTGACATTTGTTGAGTTTCAGGAGATTTGTCCCTTCTATCCTAAAGTTTTGTTTCCAATCACTCCTATCATTTTCAGTATTACACTTCTATTATGATTTGAGAAGATGACTTTCAAACAACAACAAAAAATAATACAGTAGCAAAAGATCCACCAATTTTCAAAATAAAAAAAACTCCAAAGTCAGGGAATTTCAGAACTAACATACTGTTCAACCGTATCTCCTCTGTGTGTGCACATTATAATACTCTTCACCTATGCATAGTTGCAATGCCAAGTATGTATTTAGCCAAGTCCTGGCTTCAGTTTAGCAAAATTTTTCAACATGCAAAGTAACGGGAAGACTAGAATTGGGTATTTTTTTTTCAAATGTTATCCTGGATGAAGACAAATAATTAGTGTTTCTCTTCAGCTTTCTTATTTAGCAGAAAACCTGTATCTTATTACAGAAGAGCCATCAGAACACTGTCTCCACTCACAGCTGGCTCACTGAACAGTCTTTATATCTTGTCTTTTTTTTTAAGCCATAGACAAAGATACATGAAAATGTATTAAAAAAATACCATTAATACACAACTATGGAGTTTCAGAGGCTCCTCAACGGCATAAAGCGGAAGTCTAAATCACTTGCAACAAGATGCAAGTACTAAAACTCCCTGAGCAGCTCTGGAAATCCTCTTGTAGACGACTACAGGAAAACACAGAGCTATGCAACCTATTTCATGAAACCTCACTGCTATGATAAAGAACAGATTTCATACAGTGAATGTAAGAATGTGTCGGTGCTTATGAACTGAAGCACTGCTAAAAACCGAACTCTTTTCAGTGCCTTTGGCTGATAAGAGTAATATTAAACTTAGCAAATAAATTTCTAATATTAATGTATGAGAACTGAAGAAAGAATTTCCATTATGTATTTTCAGTCAAAAGGTTTGCACTGTGCCAGATTGAGGTTTCTTACAAAATAAAATAGCAAAAGATATACATAGATTCTCTTCAGGCCTAGGCACTCTAGAGAATGGAAGTAAATAAGAAAGTATATGATTGACTTCAGCTCTTGCAACCACTGAAGGAGAGGAACTTTTTCGGAGTACTTGACATGAAACTACGATATCAATATCCATAAATGCCTCCAAAGATAGAAACAGAGCACGGACATCATATATCCTACCATGCCTTCCCCCAGAAATACAAAACTTAGTGTGAGTGTCTTTCCTAGGACTGGCTTTATCTACACTGCTGATACACTCTCCTTATGAAAAAACAAGACAATGAGTATCAGCACTACTTATGCTGTACTTGAAATGAGCAATCTTCAGTGCCCACTTCTGCTGAGCCCTGTAGAAGGAGCTAATTAATACTTCTCTCCTACTAACAAACATTCCGCATGTAGATTTTTACTCTGGAAAGCAAATGTATAAAAAGTATTATGCCTTTCTCAACAAATGCAATCCTGCTCATGCATGTCTCCACAATCCTAGACAACTGAATGATCCATGTGAAAATGCTCAGGGTTACTCGTTCTTGTTAGCCAGGTCTCTTAGGGCCTCACGAGCTAGTATGGTAGCTCATACTGGGCTAATACACTTATGTATCTTACATCCTTCCTAAACACTACAGCTGGGCTTAAAGGGTCAGCCCCAGCATTGCCAATGACATAATAAGAGCACAGTTACTAAAAGTATTATCAGCAGCATACCCAAGAGAAAAAGCTTGTTTGACTCTCAGAAGCGTGTGTAAACTTAATTTCATTTACACAGCTAGAACCTAGGAGAAAAAAAAAAGAGTTTGGATTTTTTAAATTATTTGTTAGACATATTTGATCTTGAGTTTTGAAAGATATATCCATGACACCTTTTCCAATTTCAACAAAAGGAATACCTGAAAAAATGAGTTTATGAAATATAATTTTTTCAAGTTTGTAAAATAAAATTTAAGTCATTCTACACCATTCTGCAGCATGCCAAGGGGATAAAACAACAAGAGGATACAGAGTTTTAAAAAAATATACGAAGAAAGCTGAACTTCAATTTTTCCTAGAAGTTTCAAGCTTCACAAACAATTTTTTTATTTCCTACAGCACAGAACAGTAAAGGCAGCTAAAAACATCTAGAGACTCTGTTTTTTCTCCTTTCGTTATAGAACGAGTATATTTCAGTGCTATGAGAGGGACTATCATCCAGCTGTAGCAGGACAATGTCTGTAATTCTGAGTTATCTCAAATATGAGAAACTCATTATCATGGCAGCACAACTTATCAGTCTCACAGTTAGGTCATGAGGGGAAGAGATCTACATTTCTTCTCTGGGAACACAAGCTCCTCTCAGACAACAGCAGAGCCCCTTGTTTTAATCACAGCCTTGAACTGAAAACTGTTTATCCTTCAGTTCATCCTAGTGATGACTTTCACTTTGTTATTGGTCTGTCAGCACTTCTTTTATAGGACTCTACAGACGAGAGAGATGCAGTATGACTATAAAAGCTTTGCTTATATTCTGCTGTATTAAGGCCTCCTTGTTAAGTTGGTCATTTGTTGGGGAGTTTTTTTCCAAACTAAGAAGAAAAAAGGTTTAAAAATTTTCCCTGTGATTAATAAAAACACCAAATATTACCGGTTTAAGGCTTTGACTCATTTTGGAGATGGTTTTAGCTAAGATGGCAGAAGTTACCACCTTCAAACACCTTTCTGTCCTTCAGCAAGACATGTCTCCTTTTGCACCAAGGAAGACTGACTAGGCAATGTCTGTGCCACTGCAGTTCACAGTCTAATATATTTAATATTTGCTTAAATAGTGGTGGTTCAGAAACAGCTAAACCTGCCACAAATCACAACCTTAACTCAAAGATCTCAAATTCCCCAAGCTCCCATCCTCTTTTTTTAAAAAAAAGAAAAAAAAAAAGTAAAAGTATATGTTTTTAGAGCAACCTTTACCAAGGCCTACAATTCTGCGTGCTGTGTGTTACTCCTTTTGGATATTCTGCAAATGCTTGGTTCATTAGAATACACATTGTTGAACAGGTTTTTAAGTTTCCCCCCATAATTTTTATTATTTAACACTGGAAAGAGATTTAGCAAAATTCAGTGTTTTATGAAATTGCAGCAGCTTTGAAAGATTGTAAAAGAACAAACTAAACATGCCAGTCTAATAGTTCATCTAACAGAAAGACTATTATATAGGATTAAAAAAAGAAAAATTTGTGGTTTTCTTAATTATACCAACATAAATATTACCCAAATCGAAGTACTGTCTTCTAAGCTACAAGACTTTTAGTTCATTAATATTTTCCAAAATCTAAATTGCTGACATTCACAGGGTTGAATGGTAGTCTAGGGCTCTGTAAATACTAAAGATGGAGAAAATGTCACCGAAAATAAATCTTTACGCAGTCAGTTAAAAAACAGTACAGAATGTCAACAAGTTACTCAGGAGGGGAAAATGACCACAGCATTTCTCCGGGCTGCTAGTTCTATGCCAGAGACAGGAAGCATTAGCCTCAGCTTGCACAGGAGAGAGAATCTCAGTTTCAAGCTCTAAACCAGATTACCTCCAAAAGCTGAGTAAACCACCAAGTTATCCCTGCTTCCATTTCTCCTTTCTTAAAATGGAGGTAACACTAGCACGCTTAATGCAGAAATAAATATCTTGTAATCAGACCTCAAATCATTACTAGATTTTCTACAGCATATTTGGATTTGCATTTAAGTGCATTTAAAGACTTGAATTTGGCTCTGAATTTTCTAACTCCCTGGGGCTAGAGTTGAATCTTAATACTAATTTAATATAGCAAGTTGCATATTGGAGCAAGGTGCCATATGTCTGTTTTTCTCAGTCAAATGTGAGAACTGAGGAAGTTCTTTTTCCTCTCTGACTTAGCACTTACTGTTATGGATTAACAGATGTCTTTGTAGAGAGAATGGGGTTCGGAACAAAGCTTTGCATTCCTCACACTGGAATGGTCTCTCTTCAGAATGGGTCTGCAGATGAAAGACAACATGTCAGAGGAAAGGCTCAGGGAAATCAATTAGCTGTCATTACAGTAATTATAGCTAATTTTCTAGACTGGATTCAGGAGGGGATATCACAGCAATTTGAAACATCAGGGGATGAAGAATTAAAACAGTCATTCTGCCATTATCCAGAATCCTGAAAGTCAGCATAGCAGCTACCAAATAAGTGTACCTTCCCAGTCCTCAGAAGTGTTACATGAGGTGTGCATGTAAACAGAAACAAAAATAGGGAATAACCAGGGGAAAAAAAAAAAAAGTACAAACTCAGTTGCATTGCTTCATCAGTACTAACACTGGCCTTAAGTACTTCCTAAAGTGAATAAATGCTTTAAAATTAAACATAGGTATACAAACCCCTTTTTCTCAGTTAAGTTTGAAGGTAAAACTGATCTGATTATCTCAAGATAGCATCTAAAATCTGGCACAGAAAATTTCTCAAATCATGAGACTAGTCTTACATATCCTTGTTTCACCTTCTTGTATTAAAAGAAAAAAAGAAAACAAACAAATCTACAGAAGCATCAGTATGAACATTTTTGTTTGCTGTAGAAAAATTCATCATAAATGAAACAGCCTCAAAGCCATAAATAAAATAAAAGGCTAAGCTTGCATGAATCTCTCAAACTGCAGAGTTGTTGAAGCAGATTTCTCTTCTGGTGCTTGGGAAACATCCAGCTTCATTCTACTTTTGTAAGTCTCAAAGTACTTTCCCTGTTTCCTTGTGTTACTGAAGTGCTGTCCCACTGTACATAGTAAATTAAACCGTACAATTTATTATCTACCCAATTTCCTACTATTTTTGCAAAGGAAAACAAGGTTTTAAAGCATGAGTGTATAAATATTGTATGAGCTCACAAGGACTTTAAGTAGAAGCTGCAGTGCCAAGAGGAAAATGGAATGGACAGTAAGTGTTTTATAATATGCACGAAATAAGTTAAATGAGTTAATTTTGTAGACTAAGGGTAAATACTAGCATAGCACACATTTATATAATCTTTTCTGCTATTCATAATACCATACAACATTTATAGCTATCCCTTAAACTACAGAGAAAAAAAAAGGACTGTGGGGAGTCAGCATAATTATTTGGATGTAGACTGAGGGCCTTGAACCTAGATGGATTTTAACAGAAATGTCCTCTTACATACACAACAGTACCAAAACATTAGAGTACTTGCAATGGTATACAGAGGCTTTGGATTCAAAGTCAATTCCTTGACCTCAGCCTATGTCACTTAAAGTGAAAAGGCAACAGGAGCACCATCAAATGTGTGGAATATATCACACATTACATAAAACCTGCTGAATGTTTCAGTCCAGCTTCTGCAGGTTTACATCACAGTTTGTGTTAGCTGACAACCTGCTTGGCAGTCTCAGCAGCCAGGCCAAGGATTGACAGGACATGAAGAGACTGAACTACCTTCTCACCTCAATAGGTGGTTCCTCCAGAACAGGGTTGAGACATATTGACGAGACACTGTGGGGAAGCTCGCAGTGCTGCTGTCTGTGCTGTACCTGTTCTGTGGATAAATAGAAGGGTTCAGTCCCTAGGGCTGTCAATCTGGCACCTTTCACGAGCGCAAAATTCATGTTTATTTTAAAAACGCCCTGTTTCAGAACACTCACCCTTGAGTGATAGTTCTGAAGAGCACAGTGATTTGTACAGAATTCCTTCTTAGCATCTCCTTGACAGTTCTCCTAGTCCTTTGATCAAAATACAAGTATTCTTCTGCATATCTTAACTCCACTACAAAGAAAAACACCTAACTAGACATACCCACATGCAAGGGTACACAGATCATCTGCCTCTTTTGTGAATAATCCAGAAACAAGCTAGGTCTACCAGAAGATGCCATGCAAATCTTAATGAGGAGAGGTATTTCCCCAAACGAGCATATTAGTTCTAATAGTGTCCTTTTTTGTCCTACTAATAGGTTCCAGATCAGAGATAGCTTCCATTTGGTCAGAGCAGGGGACAGCCATACGATCAAATGAACTGAGGATGGGCTCTCATGGAATATTTAATGGCAGCCTTTCCTACCATAGCATTTGTGGAGGCTTAAACCCAGCCCAAGGCTACTTATTCTCAATAGAGACACTGAGGGAATACAGTTGTTTCAATTCATTATACTCCCCGGGACCAAATAACCCTCGATTAACCATAAACCCTTTAAAATCCTGCATCTGCTGACCTATTTCTGCTCACTGCCATAGCCTCGTATTTTATTCTCTGAACTCATCCTCCATGCATAGCAACAAAGGAGCAGATGGAACAAAAACTTCTCTTTCTCCTGTATGGAAGTAATCTGCATTATATGGCAAGAATATGTACCTTCATCCAATCTAACCTGCATAAAAGGTGACTACTTTTATCTGTAGCACAATCCAATACTGTATTTGCCTCTTAATTTGAGATACTATTGTCTTCCCTCATCAGAAAAATGGAACCATATTCTTCATATGATGACTTAGTCGTATAGTCTGAGCTTTTTCAAAAGACATCTGAGCTAGTTCCACATCGCATAACACTTTTCAGTGCTGACACCTCCAAGCAAGTGACAAAGCGAGCTTGCACACGCACCTACACAGAGCAGTGCAGTACTTGTACAGCAGCAGTACATCAGAGAGGTACCACAGGGAGACTAACAGTTCCTGCCTCTCAGATCTGTAGCTATAAGGCCATAATGAGTGCTAAATTAGGGTTCACATTACAATGCTCCACTGAACATAGCAGATATACTCTTAGCAACTCCACTGTCTATCTCCCAGTGAAATCCTGTGAAATGTGAGGAACTAATCTCCTTCTGTACCTTTGAAATAACCCAATATTCACCCACATCTGAAATCTTTAAAAGCACATGTTGTGGGAGCCTTATTTATTCTGATACTTCCAACACAAAATCAGATTAGACAGCCCCACTGAAGGAATCACAGAAAAAATAGCAATGACAAGTTTCCATCTAAAACACAAAACAAGAATTCAAAGGCACAAAATGTATACATATACTCTTTCTTATTATAAATAAAAAGTATGTAGCTCTGCTGTAAAACCCAAATATTTTTCAAGTGTGTTGCTACCAAACTTGAAAGTATGTTTTCTGTTAAATGCTGTTCATTTAAGTGTTTTTAACTACTATACCCATCATTCATACTGCGGGTTTCTAAGCTCCCTGCTACTAGCAAAGTAACTGTGTCCTGGAAATCAAGAAAGCACTGTGAAATTATTCAGAGGCCAACTTTAATTCCTCAAAAAGAAAATGAAATCTAGGAGAACATCTTAAGGGAATACGCACCTAAAGAATCATTAAAAACCCAAGCTGAAGAAATATATAGAAGTATGATACACAATAAAGGTTTAAATTTCCACTGTTACTGAATCGACATTCCTGTGAACAAGCAAAAGAACTATTGTCCTCTTT